GACCATCATCGTCATCATCATCATCATCATCATCATCTACATCAGCATCATCAGGGCACCATCATCATCATAACCATCGTCATCAACATCATGATTATCAACCTTATCAGCATAATCATCATTATCGGGACACCATCATCATGCCATCATCATTGTATCATCATTGCATCATCATCATCACCATCATCATCATCATGATCATCAACATCATCATCATCATCATCATCATCATCATCATCATCATCATCATCATCATCATCATCATCATCGGGACACCATCATCATCAGCAACATCGTCATCATCAACATCATCATCATCGGGACACCATCGTCATCATCAACACCATCGACATCATCACCATCATCATCGGGACACCGACGGGACACCGGCGGGCCGGCGGGACACCGCGGGCCACCGGCCCCCGGAAAGGAATCATTTGGTCCGGCCGCGCCTCAGCCGGAGGCGGGACACCGGCGGGACACCGCGGGCCACCGGCCTCCGGAAAGGAATCATTTGGTCCGGCCGCGCCTCAGCCGGAGGAAACTTTCTTCTCGCCCGCCCACGCAGCTTCGCCTCGCCCGCACGCACGCGACGCACGAACACGAAACCGAAACCGATTTCCCCGTAGGGGGGCTCTCCGTTCCACTTCGATCTCACCCCCTCACCTCCGATCGATCCCACTCAACGGGACACCACGGGACACCACGGGACACCACGCGACACCACGGGACACCGCGGGACACCGCGAGCCACCGCCGGACGGGCGGGCGGGGGCGAATCATTTGTTTCGACTTCGCCCTAGCAACGGCGGGTTCATTCCTTTCGCGCGCCCACGCAGCTTCGCCTCGCCCGCACGCACGACGCGAACGAAACGAAACGATTTCCCGTTTGGGGTCTCCGTTTCACTGGGATCTCACCCCCCAACTTCCGACAAAAGAAACGTAGATGACGCGAAACATTTATGACGTCCATTGTTGTGAACGCATGTCGGCGCAGTGCAGCGCAGTGTGTGTGTGGCGCCTTGACATGGAGCGCCGTGCAACTCAGACCAGTGTACAGCATCATTGCATATTGTGAGCGATGGCAAATAATATCATGGCATTACTGCACGGCGCATGCTTTGATAGCATTGGCGCAAACTTGCGCTCCATGGCGTAACACAACCATGGCATAACGCGGTATGGCAAACCCGGGCTCAGCATACCGCTGAACAGCGCCGCCGGGATGAACGGACTATCACATGCCACATCTTTGTATTAAGGGCCAGACATGTGCGCCAGTGGGTGGCCCTGAATACACTAAAGGGGGTGCGTGCTCGCAGAACCCCCCCCTCCCCCATTCAACGGGGGGTGAGATTTTCGACCCTCCCCCCTCGCCCTTTTGGCGCTGGAAAGAGGGTGGGGGGTTCGAACCCCCGCCCCCCTCCCCCTTTGCGCTCGGGTAGTGGGTAGGGAGTAGAGTGTTTTTAGTAGCGAATGGTGAGTAGTGGGTATTTGATAGTGAGTAGTGCGCAGTGAGTCGTGAGTGGTGAGTAGTGAGGAGTGGGTAATACGTAGTGATAGTAGTGAGGAGCGCGTAGAAATTAGTGAGTAGTGAGTAGTGAGTAGTGGGTAGTGAGTAGTGGGAAGGAAGTAGTGAATAAGGAACTGTGAGTAGTGAGTAGGGAGGAGTGAGTAGTGTGTAGTGAGTAATGCATAGTGAGTAGTAACCAGGGAGTAGGGATGAGGGAGTAGGCAGTAGCGAATAGCGGGGAGTGGGTAGTGAGTACCGAGTAGTGCGCAGTGAGTAGAGAGTCGTGTGTAGTGAGTGATGAGTAGCGAGTAGCGAGTAGCGAGTAGGGACTAGCGAGTAGGGAGTAGCGAGTAGTGAGTACTGAGTAGCGTGTAGGGCGTTGTGAGTAGTGAGTAGTGAGGAGGGAGTAGTCAGGAGTCACTACTGAAGAGCGAGTAGGGAGTAGTGCGTAGCGAGTAGGGAGTAGCCCATAGTGAGTAGTGAGTTGTGAGTAGGGAGTAGGGAGTAGTAAGTAGCGAGTAGTGAGTAGTGAGTTGGGAGTAATGATTGGGACTAGGTAGTAGTGAGTTGTGAGTAGTGGGAGCGTAGTGAGTAGTGTGTCGTGGGCAGTGAATAGTGCGTATTGGGCAGTGAGTAGGGCGTAGGGAGTAGCGAGTAGTGAGTAGTGAGTAGCGAGCACCGTGTAGGGAGTAGCGAGTAGCCAGTAGTGAATAGTGGGTAGTGAGTTGTGGGCAATGAGTAGTGAGTAGTGTAGTCTTAGTAGTGAGTAATGGATAATGGTTAGTGGGTAGTGAGTAGTGACTTGTGACTAGTGAGTAGTGGGTAGTGAGTTGTGTATAGTGAGTCGTGAGAATTGAGTAGTGGGTAGTGAGTAGTGGGTAGTTTGTAGGGAGTAGTGAGTAGCGAGTAGGGAGTAGTGAGTAGTGCGTCGTGGGTAGTGAGTCGTGGGTAGTAAGTAGTGAGTCGTGAGTAGTGAGTACTGAGGAATGAATAGTGAGTAGCGAGTAATGGACTGTGGGTAGTGAGTAGTGAGTAATGAGTACTGTTTGGGGCTAGGGTTTGGGTTTGGGGTTAGGGTTACGGGTTAGGTTAAGGGTGAGGATTAGTGTTAGGGGTGGTTGGGGTCGGGTTCCAGAGACCGGGGGCGTCATGGCGAATGGGGGGGAAGGGGGGGGTCGAATTTGGCGGCCAAGGGGGGGGAGGGGGGGGGGGTCGGACCCCCCCCTCCCTTTTGAAAGGGGGGGAGGGGGGGGGTCCCGACGACGGACCGGGAAAGGGGGGGGTCCCCGACGACGGATCGGGAAAGGGGTGGAGGGGGGGCGGGGGGGAGATTCCCCGACGACGGATCGGGGAAGGGGGGGGGGGGCCCGACCCCCCTTTGGGGTCATCCAGCGGCCCGCCTTCCACCATGCCACATTGCATGCTCCGTGCCCAAATACAGCTTCTAAGCATGACGCTTGAGAAGTCTCACGTCATCGGTTCCGCACTCGCTTTGCAGTATCATGTCGCGTCCGCGCAGCATTGTGGGTTCGGCATTTGCGCAAGGGTCCGCGCCTGGTTCGGGAGGATTGTCTTGGCAACGGATATGGTACAGCGGTCCCCTTCACAGGAGAAGTACGAGCCATTAGGGTGGTCCTAGTGGACGCCGATTATGACACTGGTGACGGGCAATCGTCGCAGCACGAACTGATGATGCATGGGTTGCGCGCGAGAGGTGGGGTGGTCGGGCAACCAAAGATGCCGAGAGGCCGGGAGGGAACCGCAGGCGGAGCGTGCCGTGTTCTCGTTGGTGCTGGAGTTCCTGAAGGCCCCGCTTGTCCCATCGCGTGTTTTTGTATTCGGTTTCTTTCGGGGGCCACGGGGGGCGGCAGCGTCGGCGCGCTTGGCCACACGCTATGCTTGTTGCCTGTGTATGCAGTCACCCTTGAATCCCTTATGTGCTCAAAGCCTAGTGAAGGGCTTGTGTGCTTGTGTAGTGCCAGGTTGTATGGCAGTGGGTCCGCCCGCAGTCGTTCATCATGCATGTGCGTACCACGCCGTTGCTGGAATTGTGGCCTCGTGGGCGTTGTGACAGGAGGAGGGGAGGGGAGGAGACAAGACGAGTAGGTTGGCAGAGTGGAAGGAACGCATCGCCGAAACAGGGAAACAAAGGGATGCTCTCGATGCTTCGCAGCGCCGAAAGAACCCATCTCGTATGCGAAGGCGTGGGACGTATATTGCCTGGTCAACGCAGTGGTTGCCAGCGTTTTTGTGTTTTCTCCGCCTGGGTGTGGTAGGCCCCCAGTGTTATGATCCCACTGCGAGCTTTAGGCTGCCACTGGGTCCACACCCGTATACGGCTCCTGGCTGTCGTGTCCATGCAGCTCTGTTTTCCGTGGTGTTTGTTGCAGGCAAGCTGAGGTTGTAGAGCTCCACTATGGTTGGTCCAGGCGTCGTCACCACGGGCGGTGCGTATGACGCCTGCGGCATGCTGTAGTTAGTTGGAAGCTGCCGTGGCAGGGTAGTTTTGAGTATCAGCTCCAGTTGAGGTTGTCTTGCCTCTGGGTCGAGCAGTATCTCCACCTGTCGCGGTTGTTGTTGCACCTTCTGGTCCAGTGGTATGTATCGGGGGTCGATGGTCTCTTGTGATGGTCTATGTCGCCATTGTGTGGTTGTGAATGTGTTCTCCAGGTCGTAGGTGGGTATCGTGTGGCCGACGTTGTTGTCGAAGCGACGCTTGTCTAGATGCTGCGTCGTACAATTGCGAGCGGGACTTGTGATACGGTATTGGTCGGTTGAGTAGTGCCTGCTGTTTGGGGAAGTTCCGAGTCTGAGTCGTATTGGGAATGTAGTGTGGTTATGTCTGCTATCTGTTAGTCTCGGCGCTGCGGTCGTCAATCATGCACAGTCTGTGCAGTGCGTCTCGAGCTCGAATGTCAGGGCCTTTCCGTATGCGAGTGTAGGGCGTCGCGGATGTCGACACCGTTGTTTTGTAGCGTTTGCATTGCATTTTGCTGTTCTGAGGTATCTAGGTGCCTAAGGCAAATCCGCCTGCAGGCCAGCGAAGCTCTCTGCAGGGCGACCCGTCGTGCACCACCCAAAGGCCGTCACACGTACACACACATTCACACACACACACACATTCACACACACACACACACAGAGACACACACACACACACACACACAGACACACACACACACACACACGCGCGCGCGCACGCACGCAAAAACACACACCCACGGACGCACACACACAGACACAGACACAGACACAGACACAGACACAGACACAGACACAGACACAGACACAGACACAGACACATTCCGTAACCATGTTGGCTCAAGGCCTTGGAGCACCCGACGACCGCGAGTCGTCCGCGGCGCTCAGAGCGCGAGGGGCTCCGCGCTTTGGGCCAGCTCACGGGTGCTTGTTCTTCGAACCTCGGGCCCCAGCAGAGAGGCCGCAGCTTTGGGCCGCGAGGCCATTCGACAGCGTCTGCCTTGCCATGGTGGCGCACGGACAGCCAGCTGGAGGCCGCTCCTGGGCCGGCGTCGCGGCGGGCGGCAAGGCCAAAGGCAGCTGGAGCTACTGGGTCTGCTCCAGCGGCCAGTGCAGGGAGTGGAGCTGGTGCTCGCTCTGGAAGTGCCGCAGCTGCGGCCGAGTGGCCCCGCCGTGGGTCAAGGCAGCCCAGCCGCCCGCGGCTGCCGCTGGCCAGGAGCAGCCCGTCGCCGACGCCGAGGGCTTCGTCGTCCAACCTCGTAGGAGGAAAGCGAGGCGCCAGGCCAAGCGCACCGCTGCCCGCGCGGCCAGCGCGGGAGCCGCCAGTCTGGCAGGCGTCAGCGAGGCCAGCAGCGTGCAGCCGCCGGCCGTCGAGCGGCACCGCCAGGAGGTCAAGCGCATCGAGGATTTCCTCGCGGCCCCTGGCGAGTCCATCGACGAGGTGTGCCTGCAGTCGCTGCGCTCGGCCCTCGACCGCGAGCGTCGCAGGCTCTCGGCAGCAGAGGCGGCGCTGGCGGAGCGCAGGAAGGCCGACGCCCCCCTGCCCAAGGCGCTCCACGGCGCTGGCAACGCCCTGGGGAAGCTGGTCAGGCAGGGGCGGGCCAAGGAGCAGGCGCCGCTCAAGGCTGAGGAGGCCCACGTGGCAGCCATCGGAGAGCGTGAGGCAGCCATCGCGCGTGAAGCCGCATGCGCTGAGGCTGTTGAGGAGTGCCGAGATGCTCTCGAGGCTCACCGTGAGGAGCAGAGAGCCGCAGAGGCCAGGCAGGCCAAGGAGGTCGGCGCGGCCTTCGTCGGCACGGACTTGCTCGGGATGGTCTTCGGCCTCATCCAGCAGGTCGAGGCCTTGCCCCAGGGTTTCGCCGCGGGCAACGGGGAGGCCGCCTTCGCGGAGGTCGCCAAGCAGATTGCGGCGGTCCGCAGGCATGCACCCCCCGAGGCCAGGGGGCGCTCTTCCTGGGCCGACACCCCCCTCGACGTCTCGGACGAGGACCTCGACGGAGAGGAGGAGGAGCGGGTGCGTGCTTCGTCGGCCCCCCCCCCTCTGCAGGGCGCTGCCGAGCGCGGCCAGGCTGCACGGCGAGGAGATGCGCACGGCGCATGGCCCTCAGCCCAGCCGCTGGCGAGGGACCTGGCCAACGCTGGCGCAGCCCTCCTTGGCGACCAGCCGCTGGCGTCGGCTGCTGCTTGCCGTGCTGGTGTGGGCCGCAGTCGGGTTTGACGTCGACTCGGCAGGCCTGCGTTCGGCTGACAACAGGAGGGTCAGACGGCGCTTGAGTGAACAGGTGCCAGTGGAGCGGGGAGCCCAATGCCTTTCCCTGGGCTCGGGCAAACCTGCGAGTGCGGCACCTGGCCAATGGGGGGCGGTGAGGGCCGCCGACGGGCGGGTGGCCGACGCCCCTCACCCCCCCGCGCCCCCTGTCGAGGCCGCTGACGAGCGGGTGGCCGAGACCCTCGACGGGCGCAGCCAAGCCAAGGTGTCAAGTAACCAGAGGGCGAGGATGACGGCACAGGAGGCCTGCATTGGCAAGGCTCGCCTCGGGCCGCAGCCCGCCCTTGAGCCGGGCCCTCGAAGACCTGGCCCCCTGCGCGCAGGCCTGGAGGTCCTGGGCTGCAACGGCAACGTCTGGAACAGGAGCGTCGAGGTCCTCGAGGCCTTCTTCCACGCCCACCAGTACTGGCCGCAGCTGGTCCTCCTTCAGGAGACGAGGCTAACCCCTTCCTGGGGCCAGGGCGCTGGCACGCCGCCTCGGCTACTCAGCCTTCTTCCACGAGGCTGTGGCCACGGGCCAGCCTGGCCCGAACGCCACGTCGGGCGGCGTCGCGATCCTGGTGAGGGCTGGTCTCCAGGCAGAGGAATCCGCATGCCAGATGCCTGCGGCCCTGCGCCACCGCCTCATTGGCGTAGAGGTGACGGCGCCGTCGGGCCTCCGCCTCCTGGCCTTGGCTGGGCACTTCCAGCGCTGCTTGGGCCCGCGGGGGATCAACCTTGACCTGTTCTCCTCGGTCGCGGACCTGGTGGCATTCTCGCTCGACTTGCCCTGGGTCCTCCAGGCTGATTTCAACATGGAGCCCGAGCCCCTGCAGGAGCTGGGCTGGCCAGCAGCAGTTCGCGGTCACGTGCTCGGACCCTCCGAGGCGACTTGCTGCGCCCAGGGCTTGGAGCACGTCTACGACTGGTTCGTCGCGTCGTCCGACCTGGCCACGTGCACGGCGTCCTGCGCGACCACGCTCAACGACTTCGGGTTGCCCCCGCATTCTCCTGTGCTGCTACGCCTCCAGGACGTCGGATGCGACGCCCTGGTCGAGGTGCCCTCCCGTCCTGCTCGGTTTCCAGATGTGGAGGTCAGAGGCTTGCGCTCCCGCGAGGACGCCCTGGCCCAGGCCTTCACTGTCGGCAAGCGCGGGAAGGTGTCGCCGAAGGATGTTGCGTGGTCATGGGCTCAGGGTTCGCGCCCGACCTGTCTCTCCGCAGCCTTCGGCGAGTGGATCGAGGCGGCGGAGGGCGCTCTCACGGTCATCCACGAGATTGCGCCAGGCGGCCTGCCGCGCTTCCTCGGGCGAGCGGCAGGGCCCAAGACCAAGCGCATGACCTTCAGCGCGCTGGTGCAGCGCGAGGCCAGGTTGAAGTACAGCATGCTGACCCACCGCCTGAGAAGCTGCCTAGCGGTCGCCCTCCAGAGGCTTCGGGCTGAGCAGGCCAGCAGATGGCACCCGAGCCACTCTTGGTGGTATGAGCTGGAGGCGGCGGCGAGGGCGAAGCTCCTGGGTGAGGCGGCCCAGGAGGTGGCTGGTCTCCGGAGCGAGACCCTCCCTGGGGCCTCCGACGAGAAGTGGGGCGACCTCGCCTTCCACGCGGGGGTGAAGTGCTGCCCCACGGCGATCGCCAAGCTGCAGTCGTGGCTCCTGGCGTCCCAGAGGCGCGATGCCGATGAAGGCGCGGCCGCTTGGCGCAGCTGGGCCCAGACGGCGGTGGAGAAAGGAGGCCGCCTGGCCCACCGCTTCTCCAAGGCGGCTCCCACGCCTGTGGTCAGGGACGCCGACACTGGGAGGCCGCTCGTCGGCATGGACGCAGTGGGCCAGCTCACGCGCACGCGGCAGCGGCTCTGGTTCCAGGAAGGCCCCCCCCCGCGGAGTCGGAGCCCACCAGTGGGATGTTGGCTCGTGGACGCTGCCGCTCATCACCCTGGAGGCCTTGCAGCAGGCGTGCAAGCGCGACGGCCCGTCTGTGGGGTTGGGCTGCGACAACCTGCAACCTCGCCAGCTCCTTCTGCTGCCAGTGGCGCTGCAGCTTCGCCTGATCGACATCCTCACGGCGTTCGAGGACGAGCCTTCTTCGATCAAGGGACAGGTGACGCTCATGGTTTTCATTCCTAAAGCTGATGGAGGGACGGGGCCCATCGCGCTGCTCCCGTTGGCCTTGCGGCTTTGGTCCCGCCTGAGGCAGCCGTGCTGTGCCCGATGGGAGTCAGACCACAGCTACCCCTTCTTCTGGGGTCGTGATGGCCGTGACTGCGAAAGAGCGGGCTGGATATACAACTGCTTCGCGGGCTTCGCGATGGCCTCCCCGCATTTCGAGGCGGCCAGCCTGTTCCTGGACATCCGCAAGTTCTACGAGCACGTGCGCCACGACGTCCTCTGGTCGTCCGCCCAGCGCCTCGGCTTCAACCTGAAGCTGCTGCGCGGCCTCCTCGCCATCTCGTGTGCGACGGCGGTTGCTAAGCTACCCCTTCTCGGAGGCCTACTCGCATCTGGGGCGCAGCGGCCTCTGGCCACCCTGCGCAACTTAGTGGACGACGTCTCGCTCCAAGCTGTCGGCTCGGCGAGGCTGGTGGTGGACCAGCTCGTGGGGGCCAGTGGTGAAGTGCTGCGACACCTGCGGGACCGCCACCTCCCGCTCAATGAGGGCAAGTCCGTGTTCCTGGCCTCGTCGGCACAGGTGGCGGACGGCCTCGCCGCCAGCTGGGCAGCCCTCGGCTTCGAGGTCAAGCGCTGCCCCCAGGCCCGCAATCTGGGCACCGACGCCAACGTGACCCGCAGGGGGGTTCATGAGGGAGGCGCCCGCGCTGTGGGAGGCTTCTCCCGTGCCAGGCGGCTGAGAACCCTGGGCTCGGCGGGGGCCGCGGTGGTGCACATGCGCCGCGCTGGCCCAACCGCCGCCGTGGTGCGGGGCAGGACCGTCACAAGGGGTGCCTGACGGCGATCTTCACTCCTGGCGCCTGGCGGTTGCGCGCTCGGCATGGAAGCTTCCTCAGGGCGCCTCCCTTGGGCTGAGGCTCAGGGCGATCGAGGTGCAGCTCTCCGCTGACCTGGACCCGAGCCCTGCCCTGGTCCGTGCCGCGGTGCAGATGGCAGCCAGCCTCCTCCAGTCGGGAGAGGTGCCCCGGATGATGTTCGCTACCTGCCTGGATGAGGCCGAGCGCAGGCACGGCAGCGCCGGGGCGCCCTGGGTGAACTGCAAGAACCCCGTCGGCGCCCTGGCCCTCTCTCTGTTGCGGGTTGGGTGGCGCCTCTCGGCTGGGCACATCATGCACACCGACGACGGCCACGCCTTGGACATTCTGATCATGGGCCCCCGCGAGCTCGGACTGCTGGCTGCGGCAGGTGATCGCAGGGCCTCCGACAGGGCTGAGATGGCGCGGCTTGGGCACGGTGCCGCCCCCGCCATGCCCTTGTTCTGGGACGCACTCGGCCAGGTCATCGGCCCGCGCGGCAAGTTCAGCTGCAGGGAGAAGGCCGCGTTGGTGAGCTACCTGTCCAACGCCCACTGGCCGCAGGCTCGCCTCTTCGCGGCTGGCGAGCGGGGCCACCCCCGCTGCTGCGCCTGCGGCGAGGGGCGTGGCAGCCTCTGGCACAGGCTCTTCGAGTGCCAAGCCCTGGCAGCTGAGAGGAGGGACTCGGTGTCCGCCCGCCTCCTTCGCCGCGCCACTCGCGTGAGGCAGCGAGGCGAGGAGGCGGGGGAGTGCTTCTCCAGGTGCTGGCTGCCGCAGCCCCCGCAGGCGGCCTGGAGGACGGACGCGATGGCAGTCATGCGGGTGAACAGGCCTGCCGACGGGCTGCTTGGAGGTCGCCTCTACCTCGACGGCTCGGCGCTCGACCCTGAGTCCGAATGCATCCGCAGGGCAGGCTGGAGTATCGTGCAGTGCGACGAGTTCGGCAACCTGCAGGCGGCGGTGCACGGCACGGACTTGTGCCCTTTCCAGACGGCGAAGGACGGCGAGGACTTCGCGGTCTGGATGTTGAGCCGCTACCTCGGGCCTTCGATCATCGAGATCAACATCGACTGTGCGTCCACAGCCAGCTGCTTGAAGCTCGGCAGGAAGTATGCGACGGCGGCCAACAAGCCCAATGCCCACCTGTGGTCGGCCGTCTACGCCTCGCTAGACGTCGACTCGCTCATCGTGAACAAGGTTGAGGCCCACTGCACCGAGATCGATGTTCGCGAGGGCAGGATCTCGGAGGGTCAGTGGCTCGGGAACGCCCACGCCGACAGGCTGGCGAAGGCGGGAGCGGCCGTCCACAGGGTCAGTGCGACTGCCAGGCGCGAGTTCTTCGGCACGATGGAGGTCGTGAGAGAGCTCTCCAGGTGGATCGCGCAGGTCTCGATCGTCTGGCAGGGCAGGGCCTCCAAGGACTGCGAGGGCCTCTCCGTGTGCGACGAGCGGAGGACGGCTGTCACCTTCGCGGCCCCGCTGGAGGAGCGCGCTGACGGCCTGCGGGCGGCTCCCGCGGGCGAGTCGGACGCCGCGCCCGCCGCCGTGGAGGCCCGCGGGGGGCAGGCAGGCAGCCGCCCCGCCGCTGCTGGCGCCTGGGCCTCGGCGGCACGCGACGGCGGAGTCGCGCTGGGCGCCCTGGTCTTCGCCGTCGCTGGCCACGCCCTCGCGTATGCCAAGTGCGGCGAGGACGGCGACGAGCAGGAGATCGTTGCGTGCGCCAGGTGCGGAGCGCATGCGAGGCTTGGCGGACGCCCTGGCCCGCAGCCCAAGCTCAGGGAGCGCTGTCCTGGGGCAACAGGCCCCCCAGGTCGCTGCGTGACCAGAAGTCGCGGTGGGAGCGTGGCCTCCACCCTGGAGGCACGCCGCGCGCCCGCGACACGCGGAGGAAGGGGGCGGAGGCCCCCCCGCCTTCGCAAGGAGGCCGAGGTGCCGCAGGACGCCAGGGTGCGCTTCCTGAAGTGGCTCGGCGTTCAGCCTGATGCACCAGCAGGCGCCGCGAGCAGCGCCTCGGTGGCCGACGCTGATGGGTGCGGCGCTGGCGGCGCGGCCTCCTCTTCGGCTGAGGTGCCCGCTGCGGCTGGTGGCACCGCGGCAGGGGCGGGATCGCGGAAGGCCTGGCTGGATGCTTATGGCCTCGACGAGGAGAGCCTGCTGAGCTGGGCAGAGGAGGCCGAGGAGGCCCGACTCGAGCGCCAGAGCAAGAAGCGATGCAGAGATGACGGAGATGGAGGTGATTGA